TGTTTTTTGAGTTGAATTGCAAAGTCCATATATATTTCCTTTCTCACATGTATGTGGTTCCTTTTACTTTATGAAGTGGATACATGGGCTCAAATACCTTTTAGTGGCATGCAGCATTTACAATTGAATCTGGTCTGATTTACACAGTCACTTATATGTGAACAAAAGAATAGCAGACAATAGCTTTAGCAGTATTCAGACTACCCCACCATGTCATACTCTAAATCACTGGTTCTCAATCTATGGTACGTGTACCACTGGTGGAATACAAGCTGCCTCTATTGGTACGCAGAGGAATCTCTTAAATATAGATATTTTAAAAAACAATTTTAATCATTAAAAACATATAATACTATACTTTTGCCTCCTGTGTGAGCTATCTGCAGCTGAGCCTAAGTTAGCGTCAGCTACTGTATTTTAATGTTGGTCATAATGGTGGTACTTGGAAAAAAGTTTGAGGAACACTGCTCTAAATTATAGAGGCTCACATTGATCCACAATATAGAGACTGAGGACTGTTGGGTAATTTCAGCTCAAAAACATGTCTTAAATATGACACAGGGCCACTCTTCACAACGAGACCACAGGCCCTCTCAGACCAGGGGCCCCCCCGGTGTAGCTGCATGCACTGACTATATTTCCACCACTGGTGAGGAAAGTAAATGAGAAATCAATCAAACACTTAAGCTTCATTTCATTGTGTAAGAGCACTGATCCATCACTGGGTGTTATGGTCTGAGACAGCCTCTGCTCCTCTGCATGCTGCAGGACTGCTGATGGGAAGAAAAAAAAACTACACACACACACACACACACACACACACACACACACACACACACACACACACACACACACACACACACACACACACACACACACACACACACACACACACACACACACACACACACACACAGGATGCAGACTGAAATATCAAAAGGTCAGTAGACAGGCAAGAGGAGAGACTGGGGTCGTTGTACGACAGGCTGGGCCTTTGAGCTCTCTGTCCCTTAGTGTTTGTCTGTGTGAAATCAAGGACACAACTGGAACTCATAAACAGGGCACGATGTCTATGTTTGACCATGCATATTGTAGATGCCAGATGTTCCTTCCAATTCCTTTGGTTCCTAAACCATCATTCAGTCTCAGTCATCATAAAGCCAAAAATTCAACTACAGAATTATGATGGCAGGGATTATATGGAAAAATACTTAAGCCTCTTAGTAAGAGTGCATTTTATCAGTGGAAATCATTCGACTATATATACATACTTTTAAATAAATGATGCCAGAAATGAACTGACTGCCAAGGATCTTTTAATTTATTCATGAATATGTGTAGAATGTGCATTAAAAACTGCAATTAATCCTCCTTTGATTCTGCATCATGTTAACGTGTGATTTCTTCACACAGTAGTCGTGTCATGTAACAATTAATATTTCAGTGCATCAGTCGAATACCAAGAACAGGCAACTTTTCTCTGTCTGTCCACCATTTTAGTCCTCAGTCAGAGCAGAGAGAAAGCAACACGTCACAACTACACCACAGTGCCACACAATGGTCAGGAGAGGAAAAGCATAATGGATGCAGATTAATTAGAGGGATAATTACAAAAAATGTAGCTTATGTCTTAACAAAGTAGGAAGAAGGTTGTTTTCTCCCTTGTCTGCTTGTTTGGAAAATATCTCAAAATATTACAAACAACAACAAATTGGTCGAAAGGCAAGACAATCCTTGGCCAGGGAACCAGCTGAGTAGATTTTGGTGATGATCAAGATGTGGGTTTTCTACCATTTAACAGTGTTCATGTGCTGCTGAGAAAGTCCAACACACAGCTACCAAGTTTGGGCCCTAAACAACATAGCATGCTATCTACATGCTAGTTCAAACCCCAAAAGGCAAACAACAACAAGCTTTCACTGCAGCAGACTTTTGTACTGCAAAACCTGCATCCAGTCCGTCACATGATTTTCTGTGATGTTTCCCTCTAAGTCACATTCAAATGCAGACAGTTACTCAAATCTCCTCTGTTGGGAATGAACAGTTACAGATCAGAAAAGGATATAGATGGATAAATGATATATCAATTATGCACATGGTGAGGATGTGTGTCAAACTTATGCAAATTAATTCCACCTTAATGTTCAAATATGGGTTTGAGATAATGGTTAAGAATGTTGGTTAATTGATGACCACGGTTTCCCGTGTAGAAGACTGGAGGACTGTGTTTGTAGCTTTTTGAGCAAGGAAGGGAATCAAGAGTACTGAGTACTGAATGAGAGCTAATTAGTGAGGAACAGAGTGATGTATTGCTGGAGGAGGGGTGGTTTGTACTCCTTAGGCTGGAGGGAAAGTGGCCCCACACAGATCCTCCCCAATGAAATGCAAAGTTACTTTTAAATGTTATATGAAAATGTATGCCTCTAGATCAGGATATCTTATATCTCTATTGTCTTTAATCAGAACCATTTTTTTTTGTCTTCCTGGAAATAGCTTATTTTGTCCACATTGTCCTTTCAGCAAAAATGAATGACCACTGTCAGCACTATGTTCCACCACTTAAAACATTATCCAAATGCTACTTTATCAAGACATAAGTAACAAACAAGACATTGTGGACTGATTTTAATCAATCCTATAAGAGCAATAGTCCAGGTCAAAGAATGGAGCCTCTTGGCATGTAATGTAAAGAACTTCCTACCGGTGTCAAGATATGAAAAAATAGCAAAACAACCAATTCATTTTAGTGATTCAAAAGTAGAATAAAAGGGGCACACAATCAAAGCAAAGAATGCCTGGAGAGCTTTCCATTTTATTAAAATATCATTGCTACAGCAGATGTATTCTTGTATTCCTTGTCCTCTATTAGGAATGTGCATTGCAATCACTGAGGCTGATGTGATCCGCATCTCGTTGCATTGCCAACAATCCAATACATTGAAGATAAATAGAAACTACTAATGCAATATGATACGATTCACCCCTATTACAATGCAGTGTGATACAGTGCTAATTAATATGATGCTATGCAATTCAAAATGGTACAGACAGTTTGAATTGTTTTGTTTATTTGGTTCTTCTTAAGCATCTTGAGGAACAGAGGAGGAATCAATCGAAATAGAAAAGAATTGGTCACAAATGATTCACGTTAGTCACTTCTAAATAATAAAGTCATAGGGCTTCTACTAATAATTATACTTAAATTGTTTTTTTCTTATGCAAAGATGTTAATCCAAAATTATATTTGATGCACACTTTTTTAATGGGAACAATCACATCTTAAAGATTCACTATGCCAGTGCATAGTGAATCTTACCCTATTCTCTATAGGATTGTATTTTGTTGAACTTTCTGGGCCTGGATCTATGTTTCTGTCCCTTCACTTACCTCTTGTGGCTATCTGAGTGTTTACAGCCCTTTGGGTGTGGTCTGCTACACATGTGTGTTGAATTGGGAGATCGCCTTGTATGCAAGTGATTTGCTGTTAAAACTAGGTGTGCTCTGAGGAGGGCTTATGGAAGAAACGTGATGATATTTGAATAAAATTCTCTACAAGCGTTGTTTGCTTTGATGGTGTGCCACCTTTTTTCAACTTTTGAAATTATTTATAATTTTGAGGGTGAGCTTTTTCAAAATGTTTGTCTGAATGTCTCTTTTGTGTGAGACACGGTGTATTTTATTTAGTGTTTCCTACAGTCAAACCTTTTTTATTAGATATCAAACTGACTCGAGTGTGACTCATAAATAAGTCAAAACGCTCCAAAGTTAATCTCACCCTTCCTGGCAATCATACATGTGCATGCTGTGTGGAGACAGCAAGGATACAGAGTATCTGTATTGATCGTTGTTATTCGCTTTTCTCCACTTCATTATAAAAAATAAATCCTGTGCACATCTTGTTTCAGTGGCTGTGAACTGGGAGGAAGGTAGCCAAAAAAAGAACAATATAAAAAATAGTCTGTTGATCCCTGCTGTATGAAATAAGTAGGAGTGTGATAGCTTATTGGGCGGTAAACAATGCAAGCCATATAAAATCTCTTCCGGACTTTATTCTTATGGTACCAAATTACCAATATAGTTTCCTCTGGATAGGAATGCCTAGCTTGGTGTTTATGTGTGTGTATTTGATGGGTCTGTGCCTAGGTGTGCCTGTGTGTATTAGTGTGTTTACGCATCTTTGTGCTTGTTTGTGAGCCTGTGCCCGTCTAGAAAAAAATTACGTTCCATAAAACGTCTCCATAAACAGCATGGCACAATAAATCCAAGGCAGAAATATTAAGTGGAACCAATATTTTGCTGGACCCACTCCAGATTCCTAGTAAAAATCACGAGTCGGGATGACCTTAGCATTAAAAAAATATATTTTACAGGGGGAAATAATCCAATTCCCTCCCAATGAAGGCATCACTGACATGGAGCTATCTGTGCTGTGCACCTGGGCCTTTCCGCTGAGAGGTCATTTAGTATACATTCTCTCTTTTAGGGAGAGCTCCATTAAATACACCATGAATATCCAAGGAAAAAGGTATTTTGCAAAGTTGAGAAAAAAGGAAACGATGGCAAAAAAAAATTAAAAATGACTGCTGCAACATGTTGCTGTGTTCTAAGAAGGGAGCCTCCCATATGTGCAGAGAGACTAAGCAGTGAAGCTACAAAGGAAGCATGCTCAAGGACACCTGTTTCTCAGAGGGAGCAGTTTGTGAGAAACATCCTGCCTGTGCAACGCTGCAGCAGCCATGTGTAAATGCAAGGAAGGGCACAAGATCCCAATGCAAGCCCCCCCCCAGCTCCACATAGAGCCACAATGGGCTCCAGAATGTGACGACATGTTAAAAATTTGATGAAGTCCTAAGATGACACAATGTGACTGTGTACTTAGAAAAGGATAACATAGAATATGAAGCATTTCTTTGTTATATTTTTTTAAAAGCCAAACTCGATCACTTATTAATCAAAGAAAACATGCAAAAGAGAATTTATTATACTGCAGAATATTCCCCCAATTAGCCTTACAGCATCAGCATAACGTCTGTGATCCTAGTAGTAGAAACCACAGAGGACCCCAGAACAAATTCATCTGCATGGAAGATCCACCTAACCTGAATCCACTCTGCATTTCTCTTTACAATTATGCTAAGGAATGCACTGAGCCTCTAGCAGTTCAGTACAGTTATCTGCCAAAACCCTCTGGAAACTGGTGTACATTGCTCAAGAAGTTGTCATTATGAATTTGCTTTACCGTTAGATTATCTCCTTTAGAAAACTAATTTCATATTAGGGTAATTGTCTCTGGTGGGGTTATGCGGGGCTGTTGTGTTGAAAAAAAAAATAAAAATGCTGATGAAGAGGACGGGGGAGAGAAAAAGTCATGCTGGCCCTCCCTCCCTATTTCTGTCTCTCAGTCAGATGAGGTCATCAAACACCAACCTGCTTTGTATATTAATGATGTAACAGCCAGGGATTTTTGGACACCCCGTCCCCAGAGACTGCTTGGCTGGAGGCAGAGGAAGACTTCATCTTGATTTAAGAGAGAGATAACACCCTCGATAAAACTGTGACAAAGGCTAGATAGGCAGTGTGAGAGGAGATAGTGAGGGAGTGTAAGATGCCAGCAGAGAGGAGAAGACAGGAGAGGAGCGAGGCAGAGGAGGGACTGCACGATACACTGTGCCTTTAAAGCACCAAGCCCCTCCCTCCACAGAGCCGAGCAGAACAGCCGAGTGGTGCTGGCAGGAGCCTGAGCCCCACGATAAACTCTGGCATCAGCTTCCCTTCATCCGGCAGTCAGCGAGGACACAGTGAGGGCGCAGGGGCAGAGAGACGGGGACGGAGAAAGGGAAAGAGCAAGAGTGACAGAAAGGGGGGGGAGAGAGTGAGAGTCGAAAAACAGGCAGATAGACAGAGAGGGAGAGGCTGTCATAGGAATCACACAGCTCCTTTTCCACAGCAGCAGTTCAGCCGTTTCTGTCCGCTGCCTCCAGATGCAGGCGAATGCTGATGGGGATGACGGGTGGCGTGCTTTCGGCAGCACAGTTATCTGAGTGATGGTAGCAGCCACGGAGGCATCACAACCCGAAGCAGGAGCTCTCCTCGCCACTCTGGCTGTTAGTCATCTTTCAGCCTCCTCTCTCCCTTCTCAGAGTGCTATCAGGGCCATTCATCGTTCCCATCTCATGCCTCCTGCCTCCTCCTCCTCCTCCACAGCTTCATCCTCCACTTCTACTCCTCCTCTGATGAGCCAGAGCCTCAGAGTGAAATAACCCTGCTGATAGAAGCTTCTCTCTCTGTCAAGACAGTAAGTAGGGGAGGGAGGGAGATAACAGTGTGTGTGTATGTGTGTGTGTGAGGGAGAGAGAGAGAGAGGGAGAGAGTGTGTGTATGTGTGAGAGAGAGAGAGACAGATAGAGAAAGAGAGGAAGAGAGAACAGCAAGGCGGCGAGAAGAGAAGATGTTAGTGTGTGCGACAGAGGGACTGCTAAAGAACCAGGGGGTTGTGTGTAGCTTGAATGATCCTGCTGTGCGTGGACAGTGAGCTCTGGGCATAGCAACAGCAAAGTGATAAAAGAAAGGTGAGTAGGTGTGTGTTCTGGTGTGTGTGTGCATGTGTGTGGAGGTGAGGCAAGTGCTGCTGAAGCAAGAGATGCATGTAAACAGCAGCAAAAAAATGTCAACGCAGTTAATTCCTGTCCATCTCCGACTCACCCTCACTCCCATTTCTGTTTCTTCTTATGCTGCTATCTTTTTCGGGAAAGAGTGGAGGGGGTGGTAGAAAGGAAGGGAGGAGAGACATGAGAGAATAAGTGATTGCTTTCCTTCCCGTCTGTCCAGGTGCCATGTGTGATTGGCCAGCGTACCCCGTGGCAGTGGCATCGCCCTGGATTTGGCGAGAAGCTCTCCCCCCTGCTTGTTCTCTGGGGCTCCTCTGGGAAGCTTTCATAGGATTTATCTCGTCCTGCTGGATGGCACAGAGCCCTCTGCCTCTCTGAAAAGAGTCCACAGAGAAAACATACACTACACGGATAAGAAGTAAAATAATTATCCAATCACAGCACAAGGAGGCAGACCAGGGTTCCCTTAGCAACAACTGAAGGAGAGAAGAGAATCCTTTTCTCTTTCTGCTCCCTTGGTTTTTGGGCACACCCCTGTGGACTGCTGTGGGTCAGTGTTTTCTGAGAGGACTTGGATAGCGCCGTTGCATAAGACAAGCTGCCACCCAAATTCCAGGGGAAGGTGCTCGTTCGCCCTCCAGCCCCCCTCGTAACTGTGTCTAATCGACACCACGATTTTTTTGTTATCCCTCCACAAATTCTCATCACAAGTCACGTTCTGCTGGCTTGGAAATCAATTCATTCTGATCCCACGCCACCTGGAATAAGCCCTGCTTTGGGGGGAGATTGGACACTCTGTGAAAAGACCCACACCTACCTTCCTCCCTTTCATGGACGAGAAATGAAGGACAACACGAGTAAGTCGTCATCTGCAAAAAGAAAAATGGATGTGAAGCAAAGTTTATTTTGATGAGAGTTTCTACTGACAATCTTTTTATTTTTCCTGGAGGAGAAAACGCCACACTGCACAGAGGAATATCCCCTTTTTTTCCAAACAGGATCTGTCCTTTCTCTCTTAAAAGACAGTAGACCTCTCTGAGGGACTATATTTAGAAGGCAAATCTTGTCCCTGCTGGCCAATAATGTAGAACACGATTTTGAAAATTGAGCCACTGCTGGGAGTTCTATTTTTCTATCTATGTTCGATAGCTTTCTCTATAAAAAGGGTTAATACAAACCCCTTGTCTGCTTTCACTTTTGTATGTTAGCCTGCCATTATGTCACTGTGTTTCACAAGTAAAAACGATTGTACAGGACAAGTGGAAGAGGGAAAAAGTCTCTTCCCTGTATAGTGTTTTAAATAGCATCTCCTCGGGAACAATTTCAAACGTACACACTGACACATGAGATGAGTTGGCTCTACACGATTATGTAAGAGTTTCATACCAGCTTTAGCCCATGTATTTTGCCTCTTCCTTTTCCATGGATTTACAGCATTTGACTTTTCCCATGCTCATTTTCTCCTCGTTTTTGGAAGCATCTACCAGAGGGCATGGATGTCAGAGTGTGACCCTGTGCCGAGTGTGCGGGAGAGGCAAGGTGTTTTGGCTGCCCAGGTGCTTTTAAGATGTTGAGGTCTCCCTGCGTGGCCGGGGCCCCTGTTCGGATCAGTAGCACTGAGGCTCCTTGTAGCCAAAGACATGGACCCCGACTCGGCTCCCCCACGCCCTCAGCCTGTTGGCCACTGGCCCCACGTCGCCCTGTAAAGGATGTCCCTCAGCAGAGCTCCGGCCCGGGACACCTCTGAGACCCCCAGCCCGAGAGAACGCATCCGCAGCCACATGAAGATGGTGATCAACCAGCTGGAAGGCATCCTCATAGAGCTCAAGGATGTGGCCAAGGAACTCCGGGAGGTGAGGTTTAAAGTCAGCTTACACATATTAGGCTTTTGGCGGGGAGGGGGAATAAGAGAACAACAGGGGGAGGAAAAGACGGAGGTAGGGAGAGAATGTGGGTGCCAAGTGGGTGTGCTTCTCAAGAAGACTGCATTTAATTAAGTGTAAAATTCCTTTCGCAGCATGTAGATTTTGATTAAGATTTGAAAGTGATGAGATCTCACTTTTTATTTTTTTGTAGCAGGAGAATATTGTTGATTACAACCGCAGCAAGGCTGTCTTCCTTTTCCAATCAAACAATTGCTTATCGCCAATTACAAATGTCCTTCATGTGTTCAGTGGTGTCTTGTGGGAGGTACAGTAGATGTGAAGAGCTGTTGAAAAGCAGCAAAGCCAGTTTGAAAGGAAACACAGAGGCAGGCTTAGATAAGATACAAGACTTAGCACCGCAATACTTATATAACCATTTTGTTAAGGATCAGCTGGATTCCTACTGTATTTTTGCAACTGCCATGGTAACGCTGGAAGATTTGTGTGTGTGTGTGTGTGTGTGTGTGTGTGTGTGTACAATACACAGATTGAACAAGGATCAACAAACATCTCTCTTTGTTGACTGTGTGTGAGCGCATGTGTTCTTACATGCATCTACAAGTGTATGGATGAAAAAGAAATGTGTGTCTGACAACTGGCAATCAGAGTACATCTGTTCATGTGTGTGACAGTACAAAATGGCCCTCATCATCTCTTCGGGATCTTCTCCGTGTTGTGTCCTAAAAAGCCATGAGCTCTTCTTGCAAAGCTCCTCCAAAGAAAGAGATAAAGGCAAATAGAGAGACAGAGACAAATGAAACCTGAGCAAACAGTTGTGTCTGACCCATCCCACATCCTCCAAGCGCATCACATGATTAACCTCCCACCTGCTTCTGACCATGGATCCACAGGGAGTGTGTGTGTGTGTGTGTGTGTGTGTGTGTGTGTGTGTGTGTGTGTGTGTGTGTGTGTGTGTGTGTGTGTGTGTGTGTGTGTGTGTGTGTGTTTCTAAATGTGTTGAAGAAGCGAAATGGTGGATGTTAGTGCATGTAATGATCTGAAGAAGGAGGAGGGTTTTGAGCAGCCGGGGTAAAGCTGCCATAACTCACTCCATCACTGCACGCACATCTTACTGCCCCCCCTCTGCAAGCCCTCCCCAAAGTCTTGCTGACTCCCAGCTCTGCCCCACTCACCAAGCTCTACTTTATGTACTTGCACAGTTGGAGGTGCAAGGGCACATCTCACAGTGCACCTTCTCTCTGGTGAGCAGGAGAAGCCGGCCTGCGCGCGGGAGTGATTGATGATTATGGGACAACTGCAAGTGGAATAATGCTGGCTGGAGCTATTTATAAACAAAAACACGGCCTGTGCCTCTGCCAGCTCCAACGCATATTACCATTCTTATCCTAGACCCCATTAGAGAGGGCTCTGCACAGTGGCTCAAATGTCATTTTTTATTGGGAGAGCACAAGCCCACATATTGAAATGGCTAAGGAATCATATTAGCTGCCGTGGTGGTCATAATGCTGGTATCAATATCCTGCAATTAACTGACCTGTGAGATTGCAGACTGTATCAAAGGGAGATGAAGAAACAGAATCAGTGTAGCGCCATCAGATGCATGGAAGCCTAATGTTCCATAAAATCTCTCATTCTTGGCCACATGAAAGGAACAACATAATAGATAACAACTGTCACATAAATAAATGATGAATTGCCGTGTGAATGTAGTAAAATAAATAACTCCGTGAAGGAGCAGTAATGACTGATTATCACCCACAAGGTCTTTGGGGAAATGGAGATACTGCAGTGCTCTGAGGAGGAGTTAAAGCTGACACTCCAAAGCACGTAGCTGCCTAGAAATAAAGAAGTTACTGGTCTGTTACTATACTGACTTCACAGCACTGTTTTCATAGCTCAAGATCACATAGGTACAGTGTCATTGCACCAGTCTGACAGGAGCAGAATTTCAACCCCTCACTTAGTCACACTGCAACAGAATCTGCCATCTGTCCATTGCTTCAAATGTGAGTACATTGTATATTGCAGTGTTCATTAGACCATTTAGTCCATGCCTTTATATGAATTAATTTTCCAGTCAAGTTTCAGTTTCAGCAACAACCATTACAGAAATGTATGTTATGCCGATTTTATAATACTATAAATTCTATATTTCAAATGAGGATTTACAAAGTTTACCAGTTTTTAATTGAATACATATTTCAAGCCCCAAGGAAAAATTTAACAAGGCCCAAGGGGAACTTCACATCCACAAAAGGAGGTGACACAGGAAATTGCTGAAATAAAATGTATTATATAAAACTGTTCATGGTTTATGAGTCCAGTAGAAGGCAACTGCAAGTACAGGTGCAGATATGGATGAGTATGACCCATCCCAAGTGACTTGTAGTTTCTTCAGCACAATATTGTATTAGATAACTCATGTTATAAAGCACCAATAACCAGCATTAATGAATATTGAACATATTAAATACCAACGTATAAAGTAAGAAAATAAGACACAGGGTGAAAATAACCAGAATTGTCCTTTTAGAAAGACCTTCACCTCCACAGATTCTACCCCAAAGTGGCTTGCTTTCCTCATAAAGGCATTAAGGAAAGGGTCACCCATGGGTCTTACTTTCTTATCTGCCAGAATTCATCATCCTCATTGTCCATTCCCTGGAGAACGAGCGGCTACCTCACATCTTAAATACTGGCCAAAAAAAAAGGAGAGTTTGGATAACTACAAACAACACTGAGTGCAGTCTAATTGAACCCTGCGGTGAATCTACCAATAAACTTTAATCATTGTCATGTAAATGGGAATTGTTTCCTGTGCGGCAAGTACATGGCAGTCAGAAAATCAGAATATCAAAACAATAAGGAAGGAGACAACACAGACGCATGCCTTATGTTCTGCATTCTTAATTCTATTGAATTTTGAGCACTCAGCAAACAGCCATTCTGAGGAAACCTGAGAAATAACCAACGATGAATGTTACATTAAAAAGCAATACCAAGAAAATTCCCATGCAAGTATGTGAGGCCTGCACAATTGTTTTTTTTTTAATCTTCACAGAATACAGCAGTTTTAACCATCCTAGAGCTGAGATCCCTGAGTATATTTTCTATTTTACCAGGTACAGAGATAACTGCAATCATCCTTATTCCACAGGAGTAACACAGCAGCCAGTAACATGACGTAGTAGTTCCTGATTGCCTCTCATATTACCAATTTGAAAGCCACTAACATGTCGTACAATATAGACAAAGATAATATAATAGAATTCATTGTCTTTGGCTGAAGGCTAATCACTAAAATCAGCTGGTCTACTGTAGATTAATATCCACAGACATTTAGCAACCCATGCTATGTGGTTACCTACCCCCAAGCCAGCAGATAAAAAACATATTCATTCATAGAATGTTTCTTAAACTATGCATTTACTGTATTATACTGAACAAATGTATGTACCGTTAGTATACATAAAGCTGTTTCATTATATCATTTAAATTGAATTATGTAAAGCATCGCAGTTGCATGCCCATGCTACAGTATAGTCGCACGCAGTAAATCTCCTTCACATATCAAAGATAGATGTAACACAGAGCATGCATAGTTTTTCAAGATGGCTCCCTTCAAAAGCGTATTACAGTCAAATGCAGCCTGTCTTACTTGTGAATCCCATTACAGGCTTCATGACAGGTAAAATGAGAAGGCTCTAAAGGAAGGACATTGGAAGGCAACACACTGATAAACTACACCATTTGTAATAATACTGGCAGGAGTGGCAACTCTAGAGGAAATAATTCATTTAGGTATCGTGTCAACCTTTGTCTTATAAGTCTGCGGATAAACAAGAGGAAAAATAGCACCAAACGAAATGCAAAGCAACCTCTGAAATTCCTGATGCTGCGTTGTTCCTTTTGCTAAAACTGAATTTCACTGGGGGGAAAAAAAGGGAAACTAAGGAAATGCAACGAGTGCACTCGTGTTAGTTATTCGAGAGATACAGATTGGTAAATTGAAAGAATTTAATGAAGCACTAAAAAAATAAAGAAAAAAAGACATTGAGGCAGTGGCAAGGACTTGGGGGGAAGGGTTGGCAGTGAGCTACACATCTTTATATGGAACTAAACAGGAATGATGGACGGTTATTATGTGGATGTAGTTATTATGCAGAATCGTACCATGAGCAGACGATGCTGCACGTCTGTGCTGGGCTCAAGACAAATGAACACAGGAAGGCAATCAGGACTTGTAGAATTAAAGCTCCAAATGAGAGGAGTGAATATAAGCTGGACAAAGAGCAATTATCCCTAGCAGAGTACAGCAGGTCCAGGACACTGGCCGCCATCAGTCAGCCTTGTGGTAGTTGTCTGTATATGCTCATCGTAATGCTGGAGACTGGCTTACTGTTTCTACTCAGCTGTAGGCCTGAAGACAGAGGAGGGAGGCAGCAGGAAAACACCAGTATCAGGTGAAAACTGCATCCTACAAATGTCAGCTTTTTAAGAATGAAGTCCTGAGTAACAGCTTTAGTAATGAGACTGGCCACCATGCAGTTTTTTTAACTATCTAATGGATTTTTTGACAGTGTGTCATGAATGTTTTTGATCTACTGAAAATCACCTGTGATTAGCAACAGCAGGACCATCAGCTTTTCAGGTTTTGTTCATTTCTAGAGCAGACAGTCAAACTTGTGCTCGACAAGCTTAGCCCACCACTAAATATGAAGGAGCACATCTCATTTAAAATTACAGTCACCCGTGGCACGATGGCAGACACAGTGGCACAAATGGGGGTGGTCTATTCAATCTCTATTCAACACCCAATACCAGCCGCGTGATCCCAGCATGGCTGTCAAATCAAGGCCAATGGGATCACGCTAAAATGGAGTCTGTAAAAGAAAACTGCTATGTAAATGATTTGATCAGAGAGGCTCCTGTGTGGTGCTCTTTCATGTCTGAGGCATGCTTAAACG